GTCATAAACCCCATATGGTAGTAAGCTTCAAACATATGTCCATAATTCTTAGCGTCATAGCTTTGAATTCTACACAATGGTCCCTCGTTCGATCGAATAGGATTTCTTGTCAACATGCCGTGGTCCTGTTTCCTCTTCATAGTTTTGTAAATAAATTGTTCATAGCGTCACATTCAACATTACTATATTTTTGTGATTTAAAAGCTTACAAAACTTTGTTCATTTTCCGTGAATTGCATTATGTACCAAAGCCTATTCGTCTCCCCTCGCCGCCATCTTTGACGATTTGGCATGCCGTCTTCAGGATGCTTTGACTGCCGTGTTGGGATGCTATGAGATGCTCTTTTGTACGCTCGGCGACTGTTCTCGCGCTCTTGTAGCTGATACGCGAGTTTTGTTTTCCATTTCAAATGATTAGTGTTCCATTACAGATGTATTGTTTCGGTTCTGTTTTGGTGTATATGAGTTCAGTTTTGATGATTTGTTCACCGTTTGCGTGGTAGATGCTGCTAATATCATCACTATTTGATGGGATTCATAAAAACTATCATCCTATCGCATGGTGACAATCACTGGATTGTAACATGTGTTATTTTGGGATACAATTTCTCAATAAAGTACAGATGCTAATGCGGATGAGACTCAAGCCCAACAAAAGTACTAGAACTGTACTTTGCTGAGAAATGTAATCCCAAAATAACATATATTACATTGACTACTCTTCTAAATGGCATTGTATATTCACAATCACTGGATTGTCAGACACGATTGTTTACAAACAACATCGTAAAGCTGTAATACTGCTGAAACAAATACATACTCATGATATATCAGATATAGTCAGGTGTACAATCACTCTGCTTTTAGCAGAGATTTCTTATGGCTGTGGAAATGGTTTTGTCCGGCTTCTATTATTATGATGAGCGATGATATTGTTAAAGTAGTAGAACCAATATGAATATCTTGGTTTGAGTCTTAAAACGGGCTAGAAACTTTCTAACGGCCAAGATTCCGTTGGTAGCTCAACCTAGAAAAGCTAAAGCATTTACTATCTATTAGAGAATACGTAACCATGGTTACCTATAGACGGACAGTTATTACTACTTTTCTGTGTTTCACAAAGGTTGCGCTGTAATGATTGAAATGCAATTTCTGTGGTATGACAATGCCGCCTTTTTAAGTACATTTGAAATGGTTCGTCCTATGTGAGATGTGTACTGGCATTTCAGTTCAGTCATGGTGCCTCTCCACTGACGGACTAATGGCATAAAGTTAGGGGCGCCAGACAATAAGGCCGAGTTTGTTTTGTATACTGTTGTTGCAATAAAATGAATTTAACAGGTTTGTGGTGACTGTTTTGTCACTCAGAATTATTATGCACAGATCTCACTTGTCTCGTTTTTCACGTTCAGGTTGGGTAAATCACCCGGAAGAGAATTGGCTATTTGATGGTTTTGATCGATATTAGATCATCGATATACCTGAAGCGTAAGTTGAAATTACCCTGTGAAAAAGCGCGGAATTTTCCTCACCATTGATGAAGATGCACAAAAGAAAGACGTTTACACTGGTAGGGCTCTACGAAAATCAAGATTAAGATAATGTTTTTTTTTCACGATGAAAGTCTGGCTTTTCCAAACTGTGTGAAAATGAGGACAAAGACACCGTGAAATCTATCTACCAACGCCCAGTTCGATATTATTTCACATGTAGGGTGGGATATCATCACGTGGATTGACGCCCTAATATATTTCCACTGGAAATTTGACGAAGGAACGATATGTTGACATCTTAAATAGACACCTCCTTCTAACGGTAGTGTACCTAGAGCGCATTCAGTCGTGTATTGCAGGAGGGCAAAGGGTCTCAAAAGTATTGAAAAGACACTTAAACTGTAAAGAGAATCATTTCTCAACATATTCATTTTAGGTAAAACTTCTATATTTAATATGCATGTATACAGATATTTGCCGAAACAACTTTCTCAATAATTTCTGGGGATACTATATTTGTTTCAGGGTCTGTATGACAGGCTAGCGAGGTCAGTAAACAATAGATAACGCCTACGGTTTACTTTGCTCGAGACTATAGTCCTCCCGGCAGGCATAAGGCACACGTTAAGATGAACTATAGTCTGTAGGCGCACCTGCATCCCGTATCTTGTGTTGTTAAGCTGTCTGTTATTGGCCGACATCCTTTATCAGCTTAGCTTGCACGACGACCACCCCGTTATGACATTGCGAGATAGTATATCTGTTAGGGTTATCACACCAGCACGAAGAGTATACTGTTGTCAAAGGGAGCATAGCATTGGAATTATGATAACGCACTATGGCATGGTCGTATACGAAGGAAGGCATGTGGTTCGTCACACATGTACAACAGACACATATTTCCTTATTCTAACAATGCGTGAAACATGTTCATATTTTATCATTTCCACATTGCAGTGAAACATTTCCACATTCTAACATGCGGTGAAACATTTCCACATCCTAACGTATGCAGTGAACATTTCCACATTCTAACATGCAGGTGAAACATTTCCACATTCCGACATACAGTGTGAAACATTTCCCACATTCTAACATACAGTTAAGAATTTCCACATTCTAACATGCAGTGAAACATTTCTACATTCTGACATGCAGTGAAGCATTTCCACATTCTCAACATACAGTGAAACATTTCCACATTCTGACATGCAGTGAAAACATTTCTACATTCTAACATGCACTGTGAATAATTTCCACATTCTTAACATGCAGTGAAACATTTCCACATTCTAACATGCAGTGAAACATTTCCACATTCCGACATACAGTGACGCATTTCTACGCGTATTCTAACATGCAGTGAAAACATTTCCACATTCTAACATACAGTGAAACATTTCTACATTCTGACATGCAGTGAAGCATTTTCCACATTCTAACATGCAGTGAAACATTTCCACATTCTGACATGCAGTGAAACATTTCTACATTCTAACATGCTGTGAATAATTTCCACATTCTAACGTGCAGTGAAACATTTCCACATTCTAACATGTAGTGAGAACATTTCCATTATTTGACATACAGCGAATCATTTCCGTATTGTAACATATAGTGAAAAAGTTCATATCTTACATAATATGTAAAACGTGTGTATATTCTCACAGCAAACGGGCCGTCAGTAGTGTCACATTTTGTAAAACATACTCTCATACTCACATACACGTACTCAATAACTCAGGTGTAAAACAGGTGTATTCTCACATATCGTATAACATCTTTCACTTACTCACACACAATAAAATGAACACATTCTCATTCACGAAAACACAAAAATATTCGAGCACCGTTAGGCAATTCGTTATAGACACTACTGTATACTATATGCTAGCAACGAGGTCACATGATCAAGCCATTCCCGAACCCAAGGGAGATAATTCCATACCAACGAGGCAAGCTACTGCCGGCTAGAAACAATGCATTCCGGCTTTTTTGATAGTAGGATCGAGTCTACAGAATAAGGTGTTTTGTCGCATTTTTTCTGCTTGTTACTATTTGTTAATAAATAATGCGATTTCTTTCTGCAATCATGCTTACAGGCACTAATACAGATTACACATGTTTCACATTAAGAAATAAAAGTTTTTAACATGGTGAAATACATAATTACATACTTGTACATTCCGTATATCATATATTTATCTATCACAAACATATTGTCATCTCCTCACATATGTTAATAATGCTGTACTTCGACACGTCTAAATATATAATCACATATAAGTACACGCTGGGTGCACGTGCACATTACGTCTAGCCTGAGGAAACTTTGCACTTTGGTTATACTACATGGATAAGAGAGTTCTATACATAAAATGAGTTTCGCGATCAACTTTTAGTTTCAACCAGAGACCATATACCGGTATATGGTCTCTGGTCTCAACTCGGTTGCTCCCAAAATGGAGAAATGCCTACTTTTCGTCGACATTCACTATTTCAAACGGTGCGTACATGTCATCATCAACGAGATCGCCTTGACAAGATTCCTTCGTCGCACAGAGGGGTCCTGAATGGAGCACAAATGGCGGGAACTGTTATCATGATTTTGGCGCCACTATGTTAAGGGTCAGCCATAACAAACTGTTATAGTATCTTCTGACCGTGTTTATGGCTACTACGATGCAGTGTTTGTATTATGCAGCAAATCGGTCACATGAATAAACAACTGTAATATTGGGTATTTTTCAGCTGTTTCAATGATTAAAACACTACACAGTTCCCTTGATAACATGTGATAACACATTAATCATATCATGGTAGACAAGGGATGTCTGACAAGTTATATAGTTGAATGCGTAATGCACAACTCGTGGCAGCGGGCCGTGTGTAACTGCAGTGCCGTGTGCAGCGTCAACATCGATATATAGTCCGAGTCAGCGCGCCCTACCTCAGTACCGACGCAGAAGATTTGTTGAGAATAGAAGACCTCAACCACCTCACTCAGTTATCATCATGTCAAGTCCACAAGGTAGGCGTGTTTTTATATTGTTGTCGCTGTTAAACACTCATCAAAATAATTCTCTATCGGCGGCCATGTTCATGCAGACATCGGATTAAGATGACGTCTGTACATGTTGATGATGTGTAACCATGTTAGGGGCCATAGTCTGTTTGTAGTGAAAACGATGAATTTCACTCTAAACAAACAAGTAAATTGATTAAAGCAAAATTAAGATTGCGAATCCTCATAATTTCATCTTGCCAATTGAACATTCAAATCTCAGAATTTTATTCAACTTAGGATAAAAGTTGTTTAACGAACGATCATAGTTTCAAATCGCTATTATTGGTTTGTATTACAAGGGGTATGCACATTAGATGAAACACCGAGAACAAGTAGGGCTGGTCTAACTTAACGCTCATCACGTACCGCACGTGCATTTGTCTCACTGTTCCATCTACTGCGCTTACCCTCTTGTAATACAAACCAATAATAGCGATTTGAATCTATGATCTTTTGTTAAACAACTTTTATCCTAAGTTGAATAAAATTCTGAGATTTAAATGTTCATTTGGCAAGGTAAAATTATGAGGATTCGCAATGTTAATTTCACTTAATTTGTTTTACTTTTTTGTTTAAAGTGAAATTCATTGGTACGTTTTCACTGCAAACAGACTATAGAATTCCTTATGCTACACTCAAGATCGTGGATAAATATGCTCTTCGAATGAAGGTATGTTTACCGAATTGCTCGTGATAACTGCAACCGATCGTGCAGCCTCCTGGTTGTCGACAGTGGGTGTTGTTCATGTAATTAAGACAGTGTTTTGTTTGGAATGTGCACGTCTGTGTGCCATGATGTGTCTTCAGATAAATATGACATGTAGGTAGATGTGTACAGAAAAAAAACATATTTCATTGCTGTAATATCGTACCCAAATTAAAACCGGACGTAAGGGAAATCACCGAACCAATACGATAAATAATATGCTGAGGTCGATTGCAAATGTGGACGGGGGTATTATCGTAAACTTGACTTCTACTAATGTCAGAGATATTGCGTGGCAAAGGGAAGATATTTGTCGCTCTAATAAAATCATACTCATAACTATCTTTGAAAAATGCACAAACTTCAATGCATGAAGTTATAACATTTCATGAAACAATGAACAACTGCACTCCGGATCCATTACTGGCACACTGGGAGACGTTTTTTGTAAGCTCAACTCGCACACCGTAAGGATTCATGTTACATGCAATTGTTGATGTGTTCAGACATAAAGTACATTTGATATGGAATTATGATGCATGAATAATTATGTAAAGTTATTATTCATGAAGCGTGTGTTATGATATCATTTTCAGAGTGAGGTATATATCTTATTGGAAACTTTATATCCGTAGATGAACAGGTGATCGCTTTATAACAGCATGTTGTCTACCTGTAATATATCTCATATCATGTTTCAGAATACGTACCCAGTTACAAATTTAGATATTGCCCTATTGCTGGCGTGCCATGAATAATTAAACAAGATAAATAGTGTGCATGTTAATGCTTAATTTAGTCCGTTATTCCAGATCTACTACTGTATTGCTGTAATAGTGAATGAGCTGGGTTTTTACGCCACTTTTAGCAATATTCCAGCAATATCATGGCGCTGAACACCAGAAATGGGCTACACATTGTACCCATGTGGGGAATCGAACCCGGGTCTTTCGCGTGACGAGCGAACGCTTTAACCACTAGGCTACCCCACCGCCCCTATTGCTGTAATAGGTTCTTGGTGTTGTGTTGTATCATACAGGTATAAAAAGTGTCTTAACATTAAATGGGGCACGTGTTGCTCAGTCGTTTACTGTGCATAGATGGTTTCTTTAGGCATGTCAGAGACCCATGATCAAGGGTTCGAATCCCAGATTCGCCCTACCTCTGTTGATTTGTCAGCATCATACCGTATTTGAATCCTCACCAAAGTGATGAAGTCTTAAACCTGCATCACCTGCTACGTCGTGACGTGCACGTCAAAGCGGCATTAAACCTCTCACGATCAACGTAATGTAAGGTTTTCTTTAGAGGTATTTTGTGATGAACTCTAGAGTAAGGGATGGGTGCCAAGTGAAACATTACACTGAACACCAAGACTAAGATAACTTTAAGAACAACTCATCGATATTATTATGTAGAGGGTAATGTCCGGTAATCTCCATTCCTTTAAAATAATGGAGCCGAGGTCCCGGAGGCCGAGGCATTATTTATTTTAAGGAATGGAGAGTTACGAGGATATTACCCTACTTAAATTACATTCAAAGTATTGGGAATATTTCTGTTATCAAAATTAAATGTCAATATGACAAAATGAAGGTTTTATTTTGAAACTGGTACACATCGCTCCATTCCTGAAAAGTAATGGAGCGAACAGACAATGGAATGACGTCACAAATGTAATTTAATAAGACATAAAACGTTGACCTAGTATGCTTTTATAGTATCCATGAATACATAGGTACCCGTGGAGATTTAGGTTAGACCTGGTCTTCAGCCACCCATGGTTATTGTACGAGGCAACTAACGGGATCAGAGTGTTAGGCTTGCTACCTTGGTTGATGCGCGTCATGGTATCCCACCTGCGTAGCTCGATGCTCATGATGTTAACCACCCGTCTCGATTATTTTACAGACCGCCGTACAGCTGGAATATTGCTGAGTGCGGCGTTAAACAACAAGCACATATAACACACTTAGATCCCTTCGTAAGAAACATCGTAGATGTCAATGACTATCTACTAAACATATCTCTTAAAAGGTCTGTTAGTGTTGATTAATGTGCCCACAACTACAGCATCTCACTTTATTAACGTTGGACCTACAGATCTGTATGTTTTCAGTTATTCACTCTTTTTCGTTAAAGATGTGCATTTTGTTTGGATTTCGTTCCTAATGTATTTTTTCTGTGGACATTGCGTTTGATTACAAACACATGTTTTCGTGGTGTGAAGATGTTTAGGCTTCACATACATTTCTTGACTCACATTTCCCCGTCTATTTCTTGACTCACATTTCCCCGTCTATTTCTTGACTCACATTTCCCCGTGTATTTCTTGACTCACATTTCCCCGTCTATTTCCAGGCGCCGGATGCACCGCCGAGTGCAAGAGTAACCCATGCGCGTGCGGCACGGACTGCAAGTGCAACCCATCCGATTGTGCGTGCACCACGTGCAAGGTCAAAGTGTGCACGTGTTCAGGTAAAGATAGAATAGAGAGGATATGTATGTTGCACAGTATATGCCACAAATCCCTTTCCACGGAAGTGATGAAAAAAAAACATTGAACGTTTAATGAAGTAGATATGTGTAGTAAATATTACATTCGTCTGATGTTTTAATGAGAAGGGCTGTAGTTTAGACTCACAACTGGAGACTATTTTTCTTTGTCAATATTTACATTTAATACGCATTTCCAGGAATTGCTGGTATAAGTGAAGGCGCTCATACTTCATGCCGAAAAGGGGCGGTGGGGTAGCCAAATGGTTAAAGCGTCCGCTCGTCACGCCGAAGACCGGGTTCGATTCTCCATATGACTACAATGTGTGAAGCCAATTTCTGGTGTCCCCCGGCGTGATACTGCTGGAATATTGCTAAAAGCGTCGTAAAACCATACTCACTTAGTCATACCGAAAAATTGGGGTTGATTCCACTTATTAACAATGCATGAGAAGCCAATTTTATGGCGGACAGTTGCCATAGCCGCGTCAGCCATATTAAAGACTTATGATACCTTGGCGGCGACAGTTATTTAAAGCAAATACCATTTACTCGCTTAGAAAATTATATGACTTCTTCCCTTACAGTAAATGTTGCTGCTATTTCAGAGGGGTGCAAGTGTGGCAAGGGATGCACCGGAGGTGACACCTGTAAGTGTGATGACTCTTGCAGCTGTAAATAACCAAGTCACGAAAAATTCCAGTCTTCTCATGAAAAGGACCAACTACTCTTTGCCGCACTGTTGCCTACCGCTGGCATGAAATAGATGTGGAGTATCATGGACCTAACGTACTAAGATTGACAATTAACAGAGACGCTCTTGAGGAAAACCTTTTCTTTTCTCACACACCATATCAAAAGTTCTCCTTTCACGCACATTAAAGCTCTCTTTACATCCTTTTTGTGTTTTGTATGTTTCATCTATCGCTCTTATTTAGCTCTTTAAATTTAATAATCAAATGAAACTGGACTGGGATTTTGAACGGCATTTAGAAGTGATACTCAAAAGCGAGAGTTTATGGATGTCAACTTTATTTGAGGAACATTATTTCGGAGTATAAGATGAATAAAATATCGTGTTCCTGAAATAAAAAAGTTGACATCCATAACTTCTCGCCTTTGCTCTGGATTGATTGTTATTGTTAAGGTTTTTGAAAAAATTGGGCGAAATCGTTCATAGTGGTAGTTCATATTCGAAAAGGGAAATCACTGTGAACATACGATCTGATTGCGTTGTATTGAAATCCATATTGGTTAATGAAAGGAGTCGTCCGCTGGATGCTGTCCTCATCAACACTATACATTGTAGCAGAATAATTGGAGTACCGCATTGTTCGCTCGGCGTGAGGTTTTATAACAGGATGGACGCTTAAAGCCATACATACCACTAATGATACTTCTTTTATCTGACCGACATGTTTCCTTATTACGTTGTTAACGAATACGATCGATGAAAAAGACCTGTTGGATTGAAATAAGGTAATCGCGTGCTGTCACGTGGCATGAATGAAATAAACACCCCACCACCCCCACCCCCTGAACAATGTGCAGCAGTTTGCTTAGTGGGAAGCAAAAAATATATTGCCTCGTTCAGAAATCCACGAACAGCTTTTTAGGGGTCGGGTAGGAAGTTATAAAGGGGAATTCCATAGTAATTCCTGTTTTTATGACATACTTACTCCTAATATCATGAGTTCTTTTCAATTTGCCCATACTAGCTAAACTTACAACATACACGAATGTGTTACCCCGAAGCCGGGAAACAAACGTAAATAGAGAATACTACACGAGGTCTCATTACATACTCGTGACCTTCCTATGGTATCTGACCTCGCTTTCGCTCGGTCAGACACCATAGGAAGGTCACGAGTTTCGTATAATTCGTTTGCATGAGACCTCGTGTGGTATTTTATGTATTACCCACGTCTTACATGCATTAAATTGACAAAATAGCGTATTTTTGTTATGTTTTTGGTTTCAAACCGAAACCGGTTTCATAAAGAGGTTGCGGAAGAGTTTTGTACTGTAGTACAATATTTGCATGACGTCACACTGTAATGACGTCACTGCCTTGGTAACCGACGTCACGATGCATGTCAGTTGTCATCGCCTCGTACAGCCTCCTACAGTAAATTACTCCGTAGCGCCCCGTTTCTTGGTTTGCAGTTGCTTCATTCGGCTAACACCACTGGTGGAAACATTGCGTTTATGTTTTTCGACGGATATAATGTCTCAGTTCGACTCACAATTAAACAGCGACACGGCAACGTTCGCAATGTTTACATTCCCACAATGCATTTAAGTTCGAGAATGTAGAACTCACGTGTTTACACCGTTACGCGATGCTCCACACTCGGAAAATAAGTTTCCGGGGAAACAATGTGTGGGAAGGAGGGTGGAATTATGATGGTTACCGTAAGTATTCATTAATACAGGACGTTGCTCCACTCGGAAAATAAGTTTCCCAATGTGGAATTCGCTCCTTTATATTACAATACTTACTCATCATATCATGAGACGTTGTCATAGCGGACGACGACGGGAATCGAGCCTCGTCCTGACAAATCGCCGATATAAAGGAGAGGTATTGTAAAACGAAGGAAAATCCCAGCGGTCATGCCGTGACCTAGGTCAGGTCGACCAGGCCCGACCTGGAAGAAGTTGCCTCCCCCAGATCATAGGTAAATTTCAGTGCAATAATAAATAGAGGAAGAAAATGTACTCTACCCTTGGCTTGTAAATCTTCAAGATGGACGGTCTGGCCGTTACCATGACTTCCACCCCGTGAAGTGTATACATAAGTTTTTCCTCCAACTCCCGTTAAGGAAAAATGACATTTATGGTAATTAAGGATTAATAAATGTTATTGGTACCCAGCTAAAAACAGCCCATATAACATTACTTTTATAAACACACTAACTCTTGTGAACTACAGCGCAATATACTAAATATTGCGGTAGAACAAATATTCCAAAATCACAGAAATATCTACATCGTTATTAACAGAGAGATAAATTCTGTGCTACTGTGAGGGGAATACGTTTACACCCGTTTCACTGTGGAGCAACGTTTCTGATGTAAGATCTCGGAAAAGTGGAAGGTTGTCTGCAGTAAGCCGCCCTCATAATAGCTTCTAAAGAGACTAAGGAGGCGAATGCCAGTGAGGCCGAGATAGCCCTTAATTCGTGTAATTTAACACTACTAGTGGTCAGCAGGTCGGAATTACCGGCCTGATCATAGGCTACCCTGACAGTGCTCGTAATCCACTTTGAGAAGGAGGCTGCCGCAATTTCTCTACCTTCAGTTGTGTAGGAAATATACATCCTTCTCTGTGTAGTCCGTAGGGTTTAACCCCGTGGGTATACCAATTAAGGGCGCGTACAGGACAAAGTAAGCAATTCGAATCCTCTTCTTTCAAGGGATTGTAATCGGAGCTAAACACTCATGTGGTTTCTTAGTCTTAGCCCTCTGCCGTCTCCATTGGCTCTCGAACGGGGCTTTCTTCAAAGCTTCGAGAACTAAGAATACATCCCATTCGGGGGTCAACTGTCTCGACACAGCGACGCAGACATTAACGTCATTAGATCTCTCAGAACTGGATCCCCTGAGTAGTCGGGACCCCACTTTGGCGTATTGTGGTACAAATCGCGGAGCGGTAACACTTGATAGTGCGAGCTTTAAGGTGTGAATTCACCCGCAGGTGATTTAGGAACTCGGCGAAATCTTCACCACTGGACGTAAGGGTACCTGTTGTGACTTCATCCAATCCACCCAGCACTGCCAGTTTGACTCATATAGTATCTCAGTTGACGAGCGCCTGACTTAGCGACGCGTTCGGAAACTGCTTCAGAAAACCTCGCGTCTGAGGGAGTCTTTCCAGGCGCAGTTGGTCTAACACTGACGGGTTCTCGTGGCATAACCGCTACTGAGGTTGCACGAACCGGCGTATGGAAGTGCTATCGGTGACCCAGACTCAATGCTTAGTCTGTGAATATATATAATTTTGATAGTAAATAAACAAGCCCATTTTTAAATCGAAAAGGAGCCCCAGGTAGACCAGAGAATCAGAACCTGGAGGAAATCTAGATTTGCTTTTATTTAGGGCTTTAGCACTGCAGAGAGGAAGTAGGGAAAAATAATGTGGTCTTCAGGAATGTGAGACAGACTATCGATGACCCTTCAGTAAAACTTTACTTCGTCTTTCATGGACTGACCTACTGTCCTCCGGCAGGTTCTGACTTTCCTGATCCTCGATCAGGCTCATTTAGCCCTACCACACCTCATCCAGGTTCCTAGAGAAGGGTAGGGAGAGGAAGGACGTAGGGCGCACACGCGTTCCCCGACTCACCTGCGCAGGAGTCAGGAAAGGCGTGGCCTCCTGCCGTAGGGGGTCCAAGTTCCTGAAGGATTTTGTCGTCCGGTTGCACCGACCGGAGGAAATCCCCCTTCAGGGGAGAGGGATGGACTCGGTGAAGGAATAATCCCCCACCGCAGCCCTCTCCCACTTCCGAGGAAGTGGATGGACCCCTAGGGACAGTCAGGTTAGGACCCGGTGGGTCCTTCCCGACTGCCCTGGACGGCCCACCACTCTAGGGTGAGATTCCTCCTCGTACAGGATGCTCGGAGTCCACGGACGAAGGGTCATCCGGGTCCGAGTTTACGTCCATAGACGATGCCTCGTCCCCTTGCACCATCCTATCGGGACCGTCGGTCCTGCACGGTCGCAGCACCCGTGTCCTGTCCAGCTGACCCGACCAAAGGTCGTGGTTGGGTCCCTTGGTACTGAGGGGCTTGGGAGAAGCTTCCCGGTGGTCGCTACCCCGCTGTGACACGTTCTGCTGTCCCTCTTTTATGTCATCGTATTGCATGGATTGCCTGGTCCAGACTCGATTATTTACAGACCGCCGCCATATGGCTGGAATATTGCTGAGTGCGGCGTTCAACAACAGACCAACCAACCAACGAAGCATACTACAGTTGTAATATTGTATGTCTCCAGATTACACCTTTCACTCAACTTCAGGGGTGGTGGGGTAGCCCAGTGGTTAAAGCGTTGCCTCGTCACGCCAAACACCTGTCTTCGATACATTCCACATGGGTACAATGTGGGAAACCCATTTCTGATGTCCCCGTCGTGATATTGCTGGAATATTGCTACAAGCGGCAGATCGATGCTCATGCTGTTGATCAGTGGATTGCCTGGTCCAGACTCGATTATTTACAGACCGCCGCCATATAGCTGGAATATTGCTGAGCGCGGCGTTCAACAACCAACCAACGAAGTATACTGCAGTTGTAATATTTAATATCCAGTTTATATCTTTCACTCAACTTACAAGAGTGGTGAGGTAGCCTAGTGGTTAAAACGTTATTCGTCCCGCCGAACACCCGGGTTCGATGCGGGGGTACGATGTGGTAAGCCCATTTCTGGTGTCACCGCCGTGATATTGCTGGAATATTGATACATGCTGGCGCAAAGCCATACTGGCTGACTGACTGACTCCACCAACTACATCGGTTTGATTAGAAATTAATTGTCCAAGATATTTTATGGATTAAACTTCTTTAAATTTCTCTCACAACGTTTCGAGACCATTCCAGGGCCCACTTCTGCACAGAGCAATCTTAGTTACAACTCAATCTTAGGGCCCTACTAATCAACTTTATAATCACC